TAACTTAATGAAAAGCACAACAGTATAAAAACCTAAGACAATTTAGGACTTTTTTAAAGACTGCAAATATTGAAAAATAAGTTTAAATTTTGGAATGAAATAACAACTTCTACCTCTATACACCCTTGAGAATCATATTCAATATCACTAGTGGCTTAAGAAATATAGGGTCAAAGACAGTATAGTGCACAGGGCGCATCCTTGAACATAGCTGACCTGGGTTCAATCCCTGGCATCCTATATGGTTCCCTGAGGTCCACAGGAGTGATCCCTGAGCGCAGAATCATGAATAAGTCCTAAGCACCACTGGGCGCGACCCCAAAATCAAAACCAAAAAGAAATACATGGTAAAAGAAGTCGTTTTCTCCTTATAGATCTGTATTTTACAAGGCTGATTATAGTTGGTATACACAGTACTCTCTTCTATTGGGGAAGGGGGACAATGGGTGATACCCAATGGTACTCAGGAGCTACTCCTGGCTTAACTGGTGCCAGGAATTCAAACTAGGGTCAAAGATAATATAGTTGAACACAAGGCAAGTGCCCTACCTCCTGCACTATCTCTCTGGCTCCCTGAGGGCACTCTTAAAACATTGTTGGCAGGGGGATATACTGGCACAACATTTCAGAAGAGCAATTTGACAGTACTTATTTAGACTTAAATGTAGATATACTTTAACTACTAAATTGCATTTAGAATTTGATTTATTGACTCTTTCATGTACACTGATTTTATATATGCATGAATAAATTTACTGTGGTATATTAACATTGTTTGCATATAAATGGGTAATAACATAAATAGAAATGTATTAAATAAGAAAATATTGGCTAAGCTGGTATATCTATGTACTGGTATAAAAATTGGCCATTAGAAATGTGAATCTTTATAAGCTGATACAGAAACATTCACAAAAATTAAATGGGAACAAAGCGATCAAGCTAGGGACTTTGTAGAAAATTACTATTTCTATTTAAAAAGACTATTTTAAATGACTATCAATATTTTAAGAAACACCTATTACCAAATACTCATATTCTAACATATTCATATTCACCTCAACATCAAGTCAGACCTTTTTTTAAGTAAAATACTAGAAGCACACTCTAACATTAATATAATCAAAAATTTTAAAAAGGGTCCATGTTTTGTATTATGAGTTTGGGAGACAGAAATTTAAGAAAAATATTCTAACTTTTGGGGAGGAGGTTGGAGAGGGTTCTTAACCCAGTGGTGCTCAGGGCTTAATCCTGGCTCTGTGCTCATAAGTTACTACTGGTGGTGTTTGAGGGACCATATGTGATGCTGCTGGGTATCGAACCAGGGTAGGCTGCAATAACCCTGCCCTATATCTCTGGACCTATTTTATTGTTTTTTTAAAATAGATATTTCTATACCTTTCTGGATATTAAAATTATGACTGAAACTTCAGAGAAATTTTTATTATTACACAAAATGATGTGTCAATAACAATATGCTAAAATTTAATGTGCTATACGTAACATATTTCTTCTAAATTATGCATATCTTTTTAAAGCTAAAGATTTGAGGTAAGCTGATTTATTGCATTGGTAGCTTGTGCTTGCATATGACTAATACACCAGTTAAGATTCATCAATAAACAGTATCAAATCAAATTTCATATGACCCCTTACAGATAATTGCGAGGAACACATATTTTCATCTACATGTGCACACATATATATAATTTTTTTCATTTTTTTATAATTTTATATATTGAATCACTGTGAGAGCAGTTACAAAGATTTTGGGTTTAAGTCTCGGTCATACAATGAAACACTCCTAACTTCACCAGTGCCCATTTTCCACCATCAAAAACCCCATATACTCCCATCCCACACCCTCCCCCTACCTGTGGGGCAGATGACATTACTCTCTCTATTTTACATTACTCTCTCTTTATTTTGATTACATTCAATAGTTTGACACCAGACTCACCATTATTACTTGGAATTTTACCCCAACACTCAGATCTGCTGAAAAGGGAACAGTAGACAATTTGTTTTCTATTGCTGGTTATGAATAACATATGATGTCATGTGGCTACAGTAGTGGCCACGCGATTTTGAAATTCCAAAATTTTAACACTTAAAGGTAAAGGTAAAGGTAAAGGCCCTCCCGTTGATCGTCGATTTGCTCGAGCGGGCCCAGTAACGTCTCCATTGGAGACTTTGTTGTTACTGTGTCTGGCATATCGAATACTCTCGGTAGCTTGCTGGGCTCTCCGAGAGGGGCGGAGGAATCGAACTCGGGTCGGCCATGTTGGCCGCGTGTAAGGCGAACGCCCTACCCGCTGTGCTATCGTTCCAGCCCAACACTTAAATCTGGAGGAATTTCTGCCAAAACCTGCTGGGTTCCGAGATTTGTTCCTGAGTCTCTGGGATCATGGCTGTTAAGCAGCTTGATCAGGAGCCAGAGAGGCCGTTCATGGGCAATGGCTTAGGGTCTCATTGGGGTGGGGAGGAAAGGGCCGGCTCCACCCCCATCCCATGAGGCCCCACATGTCTCGTCACTGAAGGCCCAAACCTGATTCTCCAGTGGCCTCTGGAGGATGGCAGCCACCAAGCTGCCTTAGGGGGAGCAGGCAGAGGGACAGCACCCTTTCTCCCCTGAGATGGCCTGGCGACAGTAACCTACTACGACTCCGGATGCATTTCTGCCAAAAGTCACTGGGTTCTGAGATTTGTTTCTAAGTCTCTGGGATCATGGCCGTTAAGCAGCTTGATCAGGAGCCAGAGAGGCCGTTTGTGGGCGGCGACTCAGAGTTTTGTTGGGGTGGGGAGGAAAGGGCTGGCTCCACCCCCATCCCATGAGGCCCTGCATCTCGTCACTGTGGGCCCAAATCTGACTGTCCAGTGGCCTCTGGAGAATGACAGGCACCGGGCCGCCAGGGGGAACAGGCCAAGGCACGAAACCTATTCCCACCTGGAGTGACCCAGCACCAGCAACCTACTGCAGGAACAGGACGCATTTCTGCCAAAAGCCGTTGGGTTCCGAGATTCGTTTCTGGGACTCTGGGATCATGGCCAGTAAGCAGTTCGATCAGGAACCAGAGAGGCCATGCCTCCAATTATATAGCTGAGCCGGAGGTGGTTTGTGGGTGTGTCTCCCACATACCTAACTTTTGGCCGTTTACTTTCTTTTTTCTTTATTTATATTTATTGAATCACCGTGAGAACAGTCACAAAGCCTTTCAGTTCAAGTCTCGGTCAGTCATACAATGATCAAACACCCATCCCTTCACCAGTGCACATTTTCCACCACCAAGAACCCCAGTATTTCCCCCTACCCACCCCCACCTGTGTGGCAGATTCCCTCTTTACTCTCTCTCTCTCTACATTGATCACATTCAATATTACGACAAAAGACCCAACATTGTTATTTGGAATTTTCCCTAACATTCAGACCTGCCACAAAGACATCATTAGAAAATTTGTTTTCTATTGCTGATTATGAAGAGCATATGATGTCGTGTGGCCACAACAGTGGCCACGTGAATTTGGATTTCTGATATTTTAGTAATAAACCTAGAGGGATTACTGCCAGAAGCCCCTGGGTTCCAAGATTGGTATGTGTGCCTCTGGGATCATGGTTGGTTAGAAGCTGGAGGAGGCATTTGAGGGTGGCAACTTGGAGCATTGTCAAGGCAGGGAGTAGGGCCGATTCCACCCGCATTCCATGAAGCCCCACGTGCCTTGTCAATGCAGTCTCATACCTGGCTGTTCATTAGGCTCTAAAAGATGCAGGCCACCATGTCGCCGCCGCATATGGGGACAGGTGGAGGAACAGATACCCTTCCCCTCCCAGGGCGGCATGGCACCTTAGTTAAATACACAGGCCAGATGTATTTCGGTTGGGCATTATCTTTTGCTCAGATTTTCCCACCACCACTCAAGCCGGATTTTCAGGGAAAAATGCTTGATCATTTACTTTCAACGGATGACTTTGCATATCAGGAAATGTCGCGCGGCCACACGGTTTGGAAAATAGTCCTGGTACCCGCACTCCAGAGTCATGCTTGCAGAAGCTCATGGTCACCGGGATTCCATGTGGAGAAGGTGGGGAGACAGCACCTTCCCCATCTGGGACCATCCAGTGATGGGGCCCAGAGAATTCTCTGGGAGCTGTGGGGTCCTCCAGCCGGTTTTTTCTTCACTGCTGTGTGCTGGAAGATGGCGCTGGGGGCGGGTTGTGGGTGTGACTTCCAGAATCAGAGGTTGCCTGGGAGCTGGGGCGGCCCCACTGCAGTTCGGAAAACAGTCCTGGTACCCACATGCCAGAAGCTCATGGTCACCGGGATTCCATCTGGAGAAGGCGTTGGCCATTTACTTTCTTGCTAAACTTTGCCCCAAGTTTTTGGGGTCTGGCCAAAGGCACAACAGCAATTTTGGGGCATCTGAAAGTCTGACGGCGCCATCAGGCTGCTGATGCACTCGCTTCACAGGTACAGATTGACCCGCTGGTGGCACCATACCCCCGATACATGTATATATAATTTTTATTTATTTTTTGCTTTTTGGGTCACACCTGGCAACGCACAGGGGTTACTCCTGGCTCTGCACTCAGGAATCACCCCTGGCAGTACTCAGGGGACCATATGGGATGCTGGGAATTGAACTTGGGTTGGCCGTGTGCAAGGCAAACGCCCTACCCGCTGTGCTATTGCTCCAGCCCCTGTATATATAACTTTTAATAGTTACTGTATACCTATTTAATTTTAAGAAATTATTTCATTTCAAGCACATTAAACAAAAATGGCCAGCTCTGGTTTAAAATTCCTATTGATGTTTCCTTCTGATGAACCAACCATTTAGCAATCCCTTTCTTGAGGAATGAGAACAGTTCTCAGAATCAGCAATGAAATGGACAGCACTATCATTCTATGTAGTAATGAGGAAACATTCTTACGCAGGCTCCTGGTTACAAATCAGCGCACTGCCTTAGAAGCCTGATAAAGGAGTTAAATGCAGATACTCACATCAGCATAGTGACCTATCATGTCACATCGGTCACATCGCTTCCTCCAGGAATGTCTTTCAAGACATCGGTGAGTGGAAGACATAGGCAAAGAACAGTCTAAGCAAAAACGGGCTGGACAGGCATACTGGAGGTGTCCTCGCTCAGAACAGAGGCAGCAGGCGCGTACTTTCTATGAGGCAAATAGAAAAGCTCTTCAGCAAAGTACTTACTTCAATCTTTTCATTTGTTTTTTGGGTCACACACAATTGTGCTCAGGTCTTATCCCTGGCCCCAAACTCAGAGGTCACTCCTTGTGGTGCTCAGGGGACCTTATGGGGTGCTGGGGGTGGCCAAATGCAAGGCAAGTGCTCTACCTACTGTACTATTGCTCCGGCCCTCTTCACTCTTAAATAATAGCAGATTTTCCTTTCATCGTATTACTCTGTAAAGTTATTTCCAATTTGAGACCTTAATGAAGGTCTTGAACATAATTATAAGATCAACTAACCATATGAAATCAGAGCTTTAACAAAGCTACCTGCATTCTGCAGTTGCCAGAAATGCTCAGTGTAACTGTACTTTTGGTTAGTATCTATTTCTTATGCCTTGTCTTGTAGAACATTGACATTATTCTACGTAAGAGGGGAAATTATGGTCAGGAGAATGTGAAAGTGAAGTCACAGATAAAAAACAAAAAAAAGAGATTGCTTTGGTTCAGAATCAAAGACAATGACACCCAAGAACTGCCCCAAACATTTGAAGGACAATTATGTGGAGGAGAGTAGATAGTAGAAGGAATGTTAAGGGCTTACAATTTGTCAGTAAATATTTAAAAGCTTTAGTTCTGTGTTACCAAGGATGACATATCTGCTTAACATAATTTATACCAATAAACATTTAAAATGCCTAAAATTTTAATTTTATAACTTTAGGGGTCTCAGGAACCAACTAACTCAATCTTCTCATTTACTGACAAGTATACCGAGGTACTGTGAGTGAAAAAATTTACCTAAGACCATATAAATACCAATGAAAAGCTGAAACTGACTCCACATGATTTTGATGCTAAATTTCTTACTCTCTCCCCTACTTTGGGCTTTGACCTACATGAAATTTAATACATTCATTACAGAAGAATTCTAATATTACTCTAAGGTCATTCTTAGGCTAGCAAGTCCTAACTCTGTGATTCTGATTTTAATAGTGCAGAAAGAAAAATCACACATATCACATACTTGTGGAAGGGGGCAGTTTTTTGACAAATGGCCACGTTTGTCACAATTTCTACAGGTGACATTTTTGTTCGCTGAATAGTATCGCTGATTCATTCTTCCAGAAGATCTATTATTACTAATCTGGGCCTAAGGAAACGGGGGAAAAAAAAACCAAGAATTAAAAAAAGATTTTTTTCACTGTGTTTAATAAAAACAATTTACATTCTTTTAAAAACTATCAATAAGGAACATCACATTTTGATAAAGCAAGAGAATTAACGGTCAGAGTTGAGTCCATCATTCTTCAATCTTTTCATATCTGCAGACCAGCATCTGCCCTTCATACTGGCAGTTACTACCAAGATGGTACAACCATTCTACACCAAATGGACTGGCAATGGTTTGTGGACTGATGGCTTCAGTCCACTGGCGTAATACAGAAGTCAGAAAAAGGGAATCATAAAAGGAGTTAGAACCTCAAAAGCTGATCCATAAAGATAAGTACACTTTTTTGTCTGCTTCTACTTCTTATCCCCTCTTCTTAAGCACATCTCCATAGATGCCATTTGATATCTTTCTCTCAGATTTGGGTGTAGCTGGGGCACTAATATTCATCAATTTAACATTCTAGAGGCATTCAGAGTCAGATAGTACTGACTTTTATATCTGAATGTATAACAATTTATAAATGTATGCTAATATTAGGAAAAATACATATGGAATACATAAAGAAGAATATGTAAATGCCAAACAATGCTTTTTATCTTGTTTGGTAGATGCCATCTTTGAAAAAGCCTTCACTTTTCATTTGTTATCCTGCTGAATTGGTCAAGCAGGTTCCAAGTAGACACAATCTAATGATCTCTTCAGACTTTTCTTCTACCAAGTTGTAAAATTATTCTCTTTTCTAGCCATCTGCCACAATAAAGGCTAATAGTTGACAAAGACAAACAGCTGCCACATCCTAAATATAGCCTAACCATTTCCTCACACTGAAGAAGCAGCTATTTCCGGTGTTGATCTGTAATAGCATCAGGCAATATGGGCTCAGAGGGCACCCCATAGCAGAAAAGAAACAAGGAAAAGGGGTCCAAATCATTATACCAAGTAACTGACAAAAATCAAGGCTGAATGAAGTTTCTGAAATATTCAATCCCATCAAAATTAGTTTTGTTCTTTAAAGATAATGGACTATAATTTTTACAAGTTTGTTGAGTAGTGAAAATAAAAACATAACAGATCAAAGGAAATTATTAGTCTACTATGCATGATTTCAAAAACAATCTGAATTTACCTCAATATCTTTTTCACTGATGAACCAGTTTACACCATCATCTCCTACAAAACAAATAAAATGTCATTCCATCTTAACACCTTAAAAGCTCTTATAAAGTGACAGTAAAATCAATCAATGAGTACTGAATTTACACCCCAAAGATATGAGATCTAAAAACATTACACTGCTATTTTAGCTCCATCATTACTTGTGTGACACTGAACACTTAACCTCAGTTTTTCCTTATCTGTGAAATAGAATGCTATTTACCCTTTCTACCTAAAAAATATTGTGAGATGTGTGAAAAGGCTCCTAAAAACACCAAACTGTATTCAATTTATTTTTTAAATCAATGAAGGGACCAAAACTCCAATGGCATATGCAGAACAAAATTTTACCTGAATGTCTTTGACTTGATTAAAGGCTCCCTGTCTCTCCCACCCAGAGGTCTCCAGTCAGGAAAGTGACTGTGGGCACCAGGACATTCCCCCTAAATTGTGTAAACAAGCAAGAAGAGGTTTATTTCTCCCAAATCAGTATAACCATGTCCACTATTTTCCCACTGAATTTCATTACTGCACTTAAAAATAAAGCTTGAATATTGTCTTAAGAGGACAGATACTGTCTCACAATTCAATGTTATACTTCTGTAATACCAGAAACAGTAACATAAAAGAGAAAAGGAACAAGTATCTAGAAGCTACTGATTCATCTAAAAATATGACATAACAACCTGGGGAGAGAGAAACTAAATGCTGGCTTCGGTTTGTTCTGCCGTTTTATTGAAATAGCAAGTGACTCCTATTCCTTTGGTCCACCAAGGCCCAGGATGAAGGGACAGATGTATGACTAATGTACAAGCTAAGGTGTCAACAAAGAACTGATTTTTTTCCTACCCCCAAAGTTAAGATTTCTTCCTTCTTCCTGTCTACTCCTCTTCTCTCTCTCAAACACACAATCAAGCTTGACTCATCTTTGAAAGGAATTTTGAAAAGACATGAAGTAATCTACATTCTTCCAGGCCTACCAGGAGTAAGTGTTCAGCAATTTATTTTTAAATTTAAATAGTTTTTTCGAAGAAAACCAAGTGGCTGCTTTACAAAAAGACCAACCCATAGGAGAGCAGAGATGGTATGCTGATGATTATTTCCTTTGTCACATGTGGAGGCTGCGCCCATCTACTAAGAGTGGAGAATATATTAAAGAGCAGCCGCTTCTGTTCCCTCATCACCTCCATCAACACTGCTTTTTCAAAGGATTCATCCCTAGAAATACACTTTACTGCAACATTCAAGGCTGCTTCTATAAATGACCACTCAGAATTACTTAACTCAAAAAACTGACTCAGTATTGTCTTTTAAAACTGAAATATAGGTACTGGGAAGAACTCACAGGGCAGATGTGCACACTCAGCATGCATGAGGCCCAGGTTTGATTCCCTGTGCTACATTGGGAATCATAGTGCAGGGAATCAGCACAGAGCACAGAGAGCCTTCAGAAAGGGACGCTGAAGCACTAAATCAGCAGTAGCCCCTGAGAACCCACTGGTATGGCCTTCAAAAAAATAAACAAAAAGAAAGTCAGGTTTGGGGAAATAGCTCAAGGGATAAAAGCACAAGCCTAGAATGTGTGGGGCCCTGGTGGCACCCAAACACAACTAAGGTAGACCCTATTAAGTTTAAAAAAAATCCCAAACCAATAAAAAAACAAAATAGAAGCTCTTATCACACTAACCCCCAATATATTTATTAATAGATTTTTTTTTCTTTTTGGTCACACCTGGCGATGCATATTACTCTTGGCTCTGCACTCAGGAGTTACCCCTGGTGGTGCTCAGGGGACCATATGAGATGCTGGGAATCGAACCCGGGTCGGCAATGTGCAAGGCAAATACCCTACCTGTTGTGCTATTGCTCCAGCTCCAATAGATATTATTTTTAAAAAAGTTTGACAGATTTACGTTATATATTTATGTTTTAAATATATTGCATGATACATCATACATATATTTCATATAAACATATTTTTCTGTTATGAGGACTTAATGCAGGACCTCATACATGTGAAGCATGTGCCCTATACCACTAAGCTACAGCCTCAACTCCAGTAAACTTTCATTGTAGATTTATCAACAAGTACACAAAATCATTTTCAATGATGGGAAATTCTCAAGTGGTAAATGAAGCAAAAATATAATTTTTGGCCCTGGTATGCATGGTTTCATTTTGGGATCATCTTCCATGTGTTTACCACCCAAGGTCATAGTACATTAAAAGGGATCACCCTAAAGTGTGATATTAGAGTGTTATCTATCAATCATTATCTACTTATAACCTCATCTTGCTACTACTCTTTTGAGGAACTATGATTTTTCTCAGACTTCAGAATTGTTATCAAGTTTGAAGATGTCAACTCATTTTAAAAATTAAATCAATTCAGTTTAAAGAACATGGTATGGACAGGTTACAAGAAAATGTTATAGGATAAACAAAGATGAACCTTACAAGGAGATAAATGAAAGGTGTCACACGGGAAGGCCAAATGAAATGCTGTGGTAAATTTATTGGAAAAGGAATGTCTTGAATTTAAGGGAGAAGGGTATAGTAAAGTCAGAGAATGGTATGCATCAAAGGACCATTACTGCAGTATAATTTACATGTAATCTCACAAATCCAGTATAATGCATTGATTAATATACATACCCATGTTAATATTAAAAACATCAAATGTACAAAAAACACTTCTAGCATTCCAATATGTTTACCTTGTGTACATTTTAAAGCCAAACCCTAATCCTAGACAACTACTGATTTGCTTCGTCACAAAGACTGATGACTTGTCTGTTGGAGAACTGCACATAAAATAAAATCATACATTTCATGCCAATCTGTGTTGGGTTCCTTTTACTCTGAATATTTTTAAGACTATGCTTTTTGTTGGGTAGTAATAGTTTGTCAATGTTCTATTGGACAGAACACTAACAATGGAGTCAGAGTGATAGTACAGCATTTGCCTTGCATATGGCTGACCTGGATTCAATCTCCAGCATCTTATATATGGTCCCCCAGGCACTGCCAGGAGTAATTCCTGAGTGCAGAGCCAGGAGTAACCCCTAGCATTGCTGGATATGACCAAAAAAAGCCAAAAAAAAAAAAAAGTAAAAACAAAACAAAACAAAAAAACCTCAAAAACATTTGTGGGGATTTTTTTGGTTTTGTTTATCTGTTTGGTAGTATGAGAGACTGAACCCTGGGTCTCATGCATACAAGGCACAAACTCTACAATCTAGTAATTTGTTTGGCTTTCCATCTCCTGATGAATAATTAAGTAATTCCCAATTTTTGGCAATTATCAAAGCTTTATTTTTAATTAATATAAGCTTTCTTTTGCCCTGGGAAAATGCTTAGGAAGAGAATAGGATATGGTAAGAATATATTTACCTTTATATAAAATTGGCAACATTTTTTTCTCATCAGCAATATAGGGGAGTTCCAGTAGCTTTGTATCCTCACTAATACTTGGAATTGTCAGTCTTTTTAACTTAGTCTTAAATAGATGTGTAATAGTTATTCTTAACTTCTAATGCTGTGCAGCTGTTTCAACACCCATTTCGAGTATTTGCTATTCATGTATCTTCTTTCACAAATTGTATAAATGTCTGCCTGTTAGTAAATTGGTTTTATTTTTGGGGGTTAGGGCTGTCTCTTTATTTCACTTTATATATTCTTGACATGTCTCTTTTTTTAGACATTTGATTGGAAATAATTTTACTGTCTCTCAATATAGCTTACTTTTCCAAGCATAATTACAATAGCCAAAGTTCTGGCCCCCATCCTCCTGCCCCTCCACAGCCCTCCTCTACCCGCCTTGAGCATTCTACCTTTTGGAACCATTGTTTTGAGAGAGGGTCTCCACAGGCAGTGCTCAGAAGGCCTGGAGACCCCTCAGAGTGATTCTCAGTCAACGGGGTGAGCAATCCAGTGATGTGGTGTTGGGGACTGGCTGTATGCAAGGCATGTGTTTTAGCTCCTATCCATCCAGCACCCTTTGGAGATAATTTGATAGAAGGTAGAGTTCGTTTGACTGCATTTCCAACAATACAAAAATACAGAAGGACTCAACTCTGCACACCTAGGTAGTTATTTGTAGGGTAGATGTCAGGGACTAAGAAGAATCTTTCTGAATCTAAGAGACCAACTACAGTGCCTTAGAGAAAAGCTGCTTCTACATGTTTTCTACATGTGCTTTCACATTTCTGTACTTTTCTCATTTTTAGCCCTGGGTTCTTCAAGGGCGTTTGCCTTGCATGGGGCCGACCCGGATTCAATTCCTCCATCCCTCTTGGAGAGCCTGGCAAGCTACTGAGAGTATCCCGCCCGCACAGCAGAGCCTGGCAAGCTCCTCGTGGCATATTTGATATTCCAAAAACAGTAACAACAAGTCTCATGATGGAGACATTACTGGTGCCCGCTCAAACAAAGCAATAAACAACGGGAGGACAGTGCTATAGTGCTACAGTTCTTCAACAATGCTTTCCTCTTTGCCCTTTTTTTCACCTAATGTAGGCCAACTGCTATGAAACGAATTTTGAACATGCACTGAAACACAGCTCTTTGTAGTTAGAGCATCACACTGTCACTGTCCTCCCGTTGTTCATCAATTTGCTCGAGCAGGCCCAGTAACGTCTCCATCGTGAGACTTTGTTGTTACTGTGTTTGGCATATCGAATACGTCACGGGGAGCTTGCCAGGCTCTGCCATGCAGGCGAGATACTCTCGGTAGCTTGCCGGGCTCTCCAAGAGGGGCGGAGGAATCGAACTCGGGTCGGCCATGTTGGCTGCGTGCAAGGCAAACGCCCTACCGCTGTGCTATCGCTCCAGCCCAGTCAGAGCATAGAAATAGTATTTTGTACTTTTCTCACTTATACCTTGTAAATCATTACAATTCTCTTGGCTGATGTTAATTAAATACACATTCCTAGTTCTCAACTTCCTTTGTTGTTTCTTCTCCACTGCACATATTTACCTTCCTGTATTCTTTCTCACAGGCTCTAACATACATG